TTTTTGGCTGCTTGGGGTGGCCAAAACCCTGGAGCCGGCCCTGCTTGTAGCATTAACTTCTGTGGAGTTGCAGAGAATAGCAGCTTTCCAATTCCATCCCTGATCCTAATTCCCACACAGCCCTTGCCATGTGGCGTGAGCTAAGATGAAATTTCACAGGATACCAGGGTTGGGGCATTTCAAGCATTTCAATGGAACTAGTCACATGAGTAAAGTCATTTACTTATTTGCAGGTTTGGGTCCTATGCAAGCATAGTTTGCAGTCTCCATAATTACACAGCTATTTTAGCTATAATAATTGGAAAAAATTATAAAAGGACAACCAGCCTTCTGTGCTCTGTGCTGGGCTCTCATTATTTCAGTTCCCCCTAACGTACAGCAGCTTTGAAGGATCTTGAAGAACTATGTATGAGAAGTTGAATAACCTTTGTGCAGTTGTGCCTTTTGCTATCTAGTTGTAAAGGGAATTTCCAGCAGACCCAATTTCCTATGGCATAATTCAGCAAACATTTTCCTGTTGAGCTGAACTTCAAAATTTGATACTGTATGAAAATAACAGACAGACCTAAGTACAATTTTAAATACTGCCACTGAACAGCACTTGGACTTTTAGTAAGATACGTGTCAACAGTAACCAGTCTATCTATCTAGGTAGCTGTATGGCCCCATCACTACTACAGTATCTGAATTACTAATATTATAAAGTGCTGCACTAACAATATTCACTGAAGCCTACCTTTGCTGTTGCATTGGTTTAACATGTGAAATGACAATCAGCAAAAATGACATGCTATAGCTCAATGCATAGCAGGAAAGTTAAATGTTGAAAAAGGTCTTACCTGGACCTGGGAAGATGAAGCGTTTCTAGAAATGAATGGAACAAAATGAAGACAGCAAGACAAGACATACCAGTGAGTTTCAGCTAAGAAAGGAAAGTGCTTACCCTCAGGCATCTGAGCGTAGAAGAAAGGGAGAACTAGTCTAAAACCTGCCAAAGAGGTGATTTGTGAAATCATTCGGCCTGAGTTTTTGCCGTTAGCAAATACATGCAGTAAATAGAAACAGTGATAGATATATTTAGAGCAGAAAATAGCATTGCTTTAGTTTAAGAATTAGTCTACGATTCACAAAATGCTGGCTTGTGTGCCTTTGATTCTGTGTTCCACTTTGCAGCTGAGAACCAACATATTTATATCTAATTTACAACAAAAGGTTAATAGCATATGAATACCCTAATTTGGGTAGGGACAATTAAAACCAGAGTAGAGTGGACTTCCAACAGATGTGCACATTGACTTAAAGAATTGATCCTTTGTGTCTGAGGAGACGATGTAGAACCATACACTGAAAATAAGGGCTGGAGGGGCTGGTGGTACAAGTATAGCTAAGAGATCTGGCCATGTACCTAGCAGTACAATAGATTTCCTGGGTGGCCCTGGACAAGTCACAGCCACATTTTCAAAAGGGGCTACTGATTTTGGGGTGTCTCCTGTGACAGGATCCCTGGGGTGTAGCCTGGGTCTGTGGGACCGCTGTGCCCCCTGAACTCTCTCCAGCCTGAGCTGTCTCTCACAATGCCTTGCTAGTGACAAGCAGCAAACCCCTCCAGGCGCTGTGATCACTCAGCACAACAGCATGTGGAGCCCCACACGCAGCTAGATTGCATGAATGCTCCCAGAGCCACTCCTGAATCACACAGGGAAAGGCACCTGCCAGATCCCCCCAGCTCCCAGCACTGTACCTCAGGAATATGCCGTCTTGCACTGCTCAAAATGAGCAGTGCAAATTTATTAATTGGTTCACCACTTCATCAATGGAAAGTGGATATAAACCAGCCTTTGCAAACCTGAGCAGTTTTGCCACACACTTCAAACAAACTCACCGGTAAAGATAAACAGTAAAACAAATCTATTGACTACAAAAGATAGATTTTAAGTGATATTAAGTGATAGGCAAAAAGTCAGAGTTAGTTACCAAAATAAAATAAAATAAAATATAAGCACGCAGTCTAAACTCTCAACCCTATTAGACTGGGTAACATCTAGATTAAGCAGTTTTTCTCACCTCACTGGATACTGCAGTCCTTAATATACAGGTTTGTCCCTTAAACCTGGGCCAGCCTCCTCTGTTGGAGTCTTCAGTTTTCTTCTGAGTGTCTTGGTTGCTTGCAGCATAGGTGGGAGCAGAAGAAAGGCCAAGCATGGGCCTGCTGTGTTCTGTTTTATACCCTCAGTCCCATGTGCTTGGGGAGCACAAGTCCAGGCATGTCTGGGGGCATTGTTGAGTCCCCGGCAAGGTTGAGCAATTCCCCTGGTGTGGCCTCATGCAGGTGAGTCATCGAATTGTAGCTCGCTTGCTGGACAATGGCTGTTGATGATTGTTTGACACTTCACCCAGGGTGTTGGTTACACTCCTTGCTGTTGTCTCTGGGGAGCAAATATCTGCCTGATTCCCCAACTTACAGCATGTTTTAGTGACAACCATACAACACAATCTCATAACTTCATATGCACTAAAGAGATACATATTCAGATAGAACAGTGAATTTCCTCACATGGCATGCTTTATATGCAAGATCATGATTATATAAAAATGAGGAATATGGGGGTTACAGGGTGCTCCCCCAAGGTACAGAATGTCACATCTCCAATTTTGACTCCCCAGTTTGAAACACTTTGATTCTGATTTTCAAAAATGCTGAGCACCCCAAAAATGTTGGGCACTAAGATGCTTACCATCAGTGGCTACTTTTGAAATTTTTAGTCTTAAATCTTCAGAGACTCAGTTTCCTTATGTATAGAATGGGTGCTGACAGGCTTAATTCATTAGTTTGTTTGTAAAACACCTTGAGATCCTGTGATAGAAAGTTCTATAGATGAGCATTATTGTATAACCAGGTGATCACCTTTCTATCATTTAATTCTTATGCTGACCAGAAAGTTCTTAAATTCCTAAATTAAGGCTTTAGTGTTGTGACTGTTCTTCTGTCACCAGGATTGCCCTCATAGAAATAATTCATGCATCTATATTTTTAGAAATGTTTCTCCTCAGGAACACTTGTAAATTACTTGTTGGAGCACAACATCCTCTTCTCATGCTGACTTCATCCCCTAGTTGGTGTGTATTCATCTATTGGGGGTATGAATGATTGTAGAAGTGTTTTACATTTAGTGGGCATAAATACTGACAAATAAACACAAAGGATTAAGCAATAAATCATTTTTACTACAAGATGTACATTCTATTTTTCATGATTAAACAAGGTATCAGTGTAGATAAGGGTCAAATATTGCAAGAGAATATTATTCTTAGAATAATACTATATTGTAAAATAATGCTTGATCTTTTATTAATATATTTTGTAGGAAAAACATTTTTGTTGCAGAAAAATTATGTGTAAAAGGAATATAGTAGAAGATTTATGTATAAGTTACAGGTAGGTCCAGCCTTTTGAGTTATATCAGATCCCAAGCAAGAGTGGGGCCTCAAACTTCTGGAGGCAGGGACTAAGAATCTCTGGTCCCAGCACTGGCAAGGGATCTGGATTTAGGGTGAGTTATCATTTCCACTGGTGGCTTGGGGGGATATGGACCTGGTCTATGACTTGTCAAGTCATCACAGGCTCAATGGTTGCAGTTGTTATGCCTAAGGTCCATCCTTGATACAGCCTGATAACTAAAACACAAAGTTGCTAACAAATCAATATAAGTTTCTTTCATAAAGACTAGCCGGACTATTATGGGGAGGAAGGGGTGTGTATGGAGGCACGACTGCTTAGTTTAATTTAGACTGTAGCAATATTTTACATCTATATTGCACTCTTCATTCTGTGGGGTCCAAAGAACTTTTAAAAATATGGACTGGATATTGTTATGTGCTGAGACCCCGTACCTCCCATTAAAGTCAATGGAAATGGGACGTTTTCAACAATTCTCATTGCAGAACTCTTGGGTCAAATCCTGAAGTCCTTACCCAGACAAAACTTCCACACCATCTTACATCCCTGAGGTTTCACCCAGCTCAGTTCCCAAGGAAACACCAAAACAAGGGAACAGATTTTCAACAGAGCTGAGCACATCACAGTGAGAGCTGCTGGTTTCTGAACATGTTTGAAAGTCTGGCCCAGGATGCTCAGCCCTTGAAAATCTGGCCCTGAGCTCTTTTGAAATTCTGGCCCCTTCCTTTAAGGTCCTTGCATTTTTATTAGAACTGGATGAAAAATTTACATTGAAAATATTTTTGATTAAAAATTCCTGTGGGATTACATGGAGATCGTCTCATGAACATTTTTGGTTTTGTCCTAATTTGGGGGGTTTTCACTAAAATAATCAAAAGGCTGGTTGTCAAAAACTGGAACATTTTGGAGGTTTGAGTTTTTAATGAAAAAAATTCACAAAAAAATTCAATGAAAACAAAATAAAACAGATATTTATCTGTTTTCCTAATGTAACACACACCCTGACCTGCTCTAGTTTTTATACTTGTAAGCCTATGGCAGCTTGGTAGCTCTAGGGAAGGAGCTCTCAGCTCCCATCTCTTGATGAGCAGCCCTCATTTGCATGTTCATTACCAGCTCTCCCAGTGTGACCATTTTGATTAAAATACAATTAAGTATGGAATGTTTGGTTAATGAAATGTTGTCATCCTTATTGTATGACAAAAACACAATACAACTGTACATAATATGCCTTGAGCAAAGAGCCATACACCTCTGGGTAATGGAACTGGGACCATTGGGCGGACAGGGAGGGGAAGGGGGCTTTTACCTGGTATGGAAGAGTAAATCCCTGGTGGCAAGACTCTGCTCAAGTCTCTTCACGCAGTATAATGGCAGAGCTGAGTGAACTCTTGGGGGGACCTAGATCTAGCACCACGAGAGCTGTAATCACTATCACTGGCCTAGGAGCCTGAAGACCCACATCTGCCATTGCAATGAGAGGTGACAGTGGTGAGAAATGACACAGAGGCAGATAGAGAAGATGGCAAGGAGATGGCATTGCAGGCAGAGGTGGTGGCAAGGCAAGAGATATAGCACAGAGATGGCATCATGGCTAGAGGTGGTACAATGAGAGATGATGCAGAGGTGGCAGCAAGGTGTCTGTTCAAGAAGCCAGACAGCACTGCCCCCTCAGGCTTGGAGCTGGACCTGTTCGAGTGCACTCCTAGGCTCTGGGACTTCACTAACACCAAACCCTAAGTGGGTGCACCAGAGGGAAAAAGGGCAGGACATGAGGTGTCAAAGGGACATTTGTCCATCAGATGTTCACACCAGCAGGGGGGAAACAGAGGCTAAGGACTACTGCCCAAGATGCTGTAGGAGTGGGTGTTTTTCTTACTATTAGTATAAACACATAGTTGATTTAGCATTGTTGTGTTTTCCCAAATTAATGCTGAGTTCCTTTCTCCCATTAATGAAGTTTTTTTTGTTTTATACACAGACTGAGTGTTTGCAAGAGGGTAAGCATTGCCTGCTAAGTGTGCCCAGGGAAGGTATGTAGTTTTCCTCAGGGCCTGTGTATTTCTTTGTCTTCAGGGAAGCATGTAGCACACACTTAGCTGCTATGAAATAATTAACAACAAAATCAAACACCAGCTCACAATGAACTAAGCATCACATATTTTAAATGCAAAGAAATATTTATTTGACAGATGTGATTAGTAAAGAGCTAATGATGAGAGAGAAATGTGTGATTTTCATCTGTTTTGAAATGAAATCATGACTTGGGATATGTCTACGCTGCAGTCAGAGGTGTGAGTGCAGCACATGTAGACATACCCGAGCTGGCTTTGCGCTAGTTAATGTGAGTACCAATAGCAGGGAAGCCGCCACAGCGGAGACTTCAGCATGAGCTGTAGAAGCCCACCTGGGATGCTGGGTACTTACTCAGGCAGTTAGTCTACACTGAGGCCTGTGCTGCTGAGGCTTCGCTGCTATTGGTACTAGCGCTCGCTAGAACACAGCTAGCTCAGGTAAGTGTACGTGTGTCCCAATCACACACCCCTTGCAGAGGAGACA